TTTGGAATTCAGATGCACTCTTATTGATTGTGCTTGGCTGTACATGTACATATCCTTCAAGATGTATCATGGTGGTGTTGCAACCTAGAAGACACCTGATTCTTCTTCAGTCATCCTCATTCGCTGTCCAGCTCTCACACACACAGCAAGTGACTCAAAAGACCGTGGTCTGAACAATGTGTACCTTAGAGTCTTCAACCTGACATCCCTTCTCCTCAGTAATTTGGGGAAGTCTCTGGCAATAAACTTGCCTGATGCAATATGCCTCCTGATCTTCTAAATGCTGGTACCAGGGGTATTGATTGTGGACCCAAGTAAGATGAAATGGTTGACAATTCCAATCTTTTCTTCATCAATCATGTTGCTTACAGGTCTAACGGTGACAATTTTGTCTTCTTGATGTTGAGTTGAAATCCATAGTGAAGGCTATATTCTTTGACCTTCAGCAAAAAAAGTGTTTCAAGTCCTCATTTTCAGCAAGCAAGGTTGTGTCATCTACATAAGACAAGTCACTGACGAGTCTTCCTCTGATCATCATGCCACATTCTTCTTCATAGAGGACAGCTTCTAAACAATTTGCTCAGCATGTAGATTGAACAGAGAAAGGATATAACCCTGACAACACACCTTTCCTGATTTTAAACCATGCAGTGTTCCCTTGCTCTATTCACACAACAGCTTTTTGGGCTAGGTATAGCTTTCATATGAACATAATTCTGGAATTCCAATTCTTCTCAATGTCAGCCATAGTTTATTATGATCCCCATAGTCAAATAAAACACAAATAACCACTTGTATGGTATTATTTGCTTTCAGCCAGGATCTATCTGACACCAGTAATGCTATTCCTAGTACCACAGCCTCTTCTAAACCCTGCTTGAACTTCTGGTAGTTACCTGTCAATGTACTGTTCTAGATGTTTAGGGATGACCTTCAGTATTATGCTTGCATGTGATATTAATGATATTAATGCTATTCAATAATTTCCACATTCTGAGAATATAGATTTCTACACGTCATGCCAAGTACCAGGAGTGAGAGAAGGGCAGTGATTGTCAAGGGAAACAAGGTTAGGTGCCCTTGCGTCAACTCTAACTCACAGAGACGTTCTGTGTAACAGAAATTGTGCCACCCTCACCACCTGTACTGTGTTTGAACCCACTGCTGTTGTCACTGTAAATGCATCTGACTAAGGGTCCTCTTCTTCCTCACCGGCTCACCAGTTTTCCAAGTACAGTGTTCTTTTCAAGGACTGGACCCTCCTCTCTTAGGAGGAGCCTGGCTGCACTTCTTCCAGAATAGATAATGTCTGTTCTCGTGGCAGCCCACAGCATATTCAATACTCTTCACCAACACCACAAGGCAAATGCTTCAGTGTCCCTTACTGTCTGGCTTTCACAAAAGCGTAAGGGAGTGAAAACACCAGTATGGCGCCCCTATCCTGAAGTCTTGAAACCGATGCCCTTACTGTGGTGTCATGGGTTTACTGCTCCAAATGGCACTGATTTTCACCACACGAAGGGTAGGAACATAGTAAGGTGCGTATAAATGACTTGTGGTGGGATTGGTCTGTTTTTGCGATCCCTCCAAGTTTAAAGTGAGCACAAAGGGAATCTCACCACCAGCAAGGAAGAAGCAGAAAATACAGGATGCATCCTTCAAGGCCAGAGACCCTTGTGCCTGTCAGATCAGGAAACATAGAAAGAGGAACAGCAACCTCGGTGGAAAACCAGAGACCAACATGAGGCAGGGCTGACCAGGGGCCATAGCCACACAGAGCGAGGGGCCTAAACCCAAGCTTGCTGGAGGACAAAGAGAACTCTCGAACACTGGCCTAAGCGGCAAGGCAGAAGACCACAGGGCCTATGAGCATGCCTGAGAAGCTGTCCTGACTAAGGAACTATATCCTAGTGCCAACCTGAACTGTAACCTGTAACTGCTCCAGTAAAACCCCATAACCATGAATATGGTCCTAAGAGATCTGAGTGGCCATTGATATGATGCTGGATTAATAGAAATAGGTGCAGGAGTGTGGAGACCACGTCTGACCTTATGAGAATTGGTTTTATATCGTGGGTGTTGTTGATGGGGACTGTTCCCCTTGCTGTCGTTGCTGTGTACCGTGGAGGTGGAAATGAACCCTAGCTGACCCTCCAATGGGTTTTCAGAGGCATTTAACAGCACAGGAGGAGACTGCCCATCTTTCTTTCACAGAGCAGCTGGTGAATTTGAACCACGTGCCTTTGGGATTGCAGCAGTTTCTCACCACCAGGCCACTGAAATTAATAAAGGTCAGATGTGACCATTTTTGTGCTGACTCCACTCTTTATACACTTGCTATTTAGCAACAGGTAAAATTATCTTCTCATACAGGTAATAGGAGTATATATTCCGAAAAATTAAACAGTAACTTAGTAACATGCAAATCAGTAGTGTTCAGCTCGTCTAACAGAGACCACTTAGAAGGCATTATACAGAAGAAAGGGGCTATTTACAGTTACAAATGAGAAATTACCAAGGCTTAAAGTTAATAAGAAATGTCCAAAACCCACATGAAAACCCATAAAAACCCTCCTAAGTGACACAAAGTATGACTTAAATATAATAACATAGTCTTAGAAAGGAAAACATAATGATAACATAAACTTCATCTACCACTGTTTAACTATTTTATCAAATACACCTCAGTACACTTTGTTAACAAGATTGTTTTATATCCAAGCAACCAAGAAGTTAGATTTGTATATATTTGTCTTTTACTCTTGTACTGTAAAATATACATTTATAAAAATCAGTAGACCACATCTTGGCTCATCAGGTGAAAAAAAAGGACACTGCTAACACCCTAGAAGCTTCTTCATGTGTACTTTCTGAAATGATAATCTTCTCCAGGCTGTCTGTCTAGTTTTCTACCATCTCTGTGCTTCCCAAACTATGTAACTGTTTTCAAACTATATAAATGAAAGCATTTCTTTATACACACACACGTTTCAGTGTTTCAGTTCTTTCAATCGTCACTGTGTTCAAAAGATTCATTCACGTTGTTACATGTCATTGAGGTTCATTCATTCTCACTGCTGTGCAAATATTCCATTGTACGAATATGTCACAATTTACCCACTGTATTGCTAATGCAAGTTCTGACTGCTTCTACTTTCGGGTCCTTATGAATAAAGCCTTAAATGAACATTATTTTGTAATTGTTCTGGTTTCTATGTGCACAAGTTTCTCTAGATTGTACATATGAGAGTGAAATTGTCAAGGCATAGATGATGATATTTTTAACATCATTGTGAGTGGCCAACTCTTTCTAAAGTCATACCAGCTTGCACTGCTACCAGCATCCGAGAATTGTTGCTCTCTCATACTGCTCACGTTTTTAACCCTGCCCATCCCGGTCACGGTAAATACTCACATGTCCCTCATCAGACGAGCGTCCTCAGCTCGGACCAGCAAACTTCGGATCAAGTTAGAGTTGTCAGACATATCTGCACTGAGCTTCTGATGCACTGAGTGATATTCATCCACCTGGGAACCATGAACAGTCAAGAGTGCAGAAAACTTCAGAAACTTCTTAGACAGACTGAGAAAACAAGAGTCCACGGTCCTTTCCTGTCACCTGATCATTTTTACCACATTCAGTAACGCCTGTTACTTCATGTCTTCAACAAGACATCACTCATCTGTCTGTCGTAGTAAGGTAACTTGCATTTTACTGTGATGATAATAGCCATGTCACCAATATTTCAAATACCAGGAGAGTCATCCATAATACGTAGATTTTAGCAGAGCTTTCAGACTTGGGCTAGAAAACAAGCTTAGTCATCCACTGCTAAAATAATGGGTCCTGGAAAACCCTATGGACAGCATTAGAATTGTGGGGTACAGTGCCAAGAAGATGAGGCTCCCATATTGGAAAGCACTCCAAATATGGCCTGGGAACAGCTGTCTTTTGAAAGTAGACACCACCTTAATAGTGAGCATGCAGTAAGGCTTGTAGTTAATGAAGAACTTCATGTGTTGATGTTGCATGACACAAAATGAGGAGAAATAGCTGCAAGCATCCATTAATACCTGGAATGTACAAAGAAATATTGGGAAAAGAAACTGGAAACCATAGAGATAGGTACCCTAGCATTAGTGAGCAGAAATAGATGGGTATTGGACATTGTGAATCAGATAATCACATACCATGCCAAAACTGACAGCACATAACAACAACAACTATGTCAAGACAGACAAGAAAACAAAGGTCCTCACAACAGACAGCATTATGATAGATGGAGAAAGGAATAAAGCCATCAATGATTTCATCTAGCTTGGATCAACAACCAACATCCTTGCTACCAGCAGTCAGGAGATCAGGAGACGTACTGCACTGGGAAAGTCCACTGGAAGAGGCCAGGGACTTCTTCAAAACACATGATGCAAAATACTCGAGCAATAATGCCAGTTAAAAGATCAAGCTGCACCTCATTCCGGCCACGGTCTCCTCAATCATTTGCTATGCATCTGAGAGCTGGACAATGAACAAGGCTGACAGAAGAGAACTGATGCCTTTGAGTTATGGTGTTGGAGAGGAGTACTGAGTATTCCATGAACTTCCAAAAGAACAAACGGCCAGCTCTTGGCAGAAAGTGCAACCAGAGTGCTCCTCAGAGGCAAAGAAAATGAAGCTCTGTCTCAATCCACAGGCGTGTTGCTAAGAGAGGCTAGTTCTTGGAAGTGGATACCATACTTGGAAAGATAGAAAGAGAAGACGGCCAACAAGATGGATTGATACACTGACTGCAGCAATGGGCTCAAGCGAGTCAGAGATGATGAGGACAGCAGAGAATTCAGGTCTGTTGTTCACAGGCCTGCTATGACTATTACTCAACTCAATGGCACCTAACAATAACACAACAAAGCCAAAGCAACTAAGGATTTCTACCAGCTTCTGCTGTTAAAGCTCCACAGTGGCCTAGTGGGAAGGAGTTGTGCTGCCAGCCTAACAGCTTGTGGCTTAAATCTGCCAGCTACTCCACAGGAGAAAGATAGGCAATTGTCTCCTGTGCCATTTACAGTCTCCAAAAGCCTGCTGGAGGGTCAGCTATAAGATAGTGCAGCTCGATGGTACAAAATGACCACAACTACCTTAGCATTCGAAAGTATCGATGACACAAACACGCACACAGGGATTGGAAGTGTGAATGCTGTGACTGGGAGTCAACTGTAATCCTCTTCATTTTCATTTTGTCCTGCATTTGAGTTGTTAGAAAGCACTCTATCAACAGGTAAGACGATGGGGCTAGAAAAGAAAATGTTGTTTTTTCAATGTAATCCCCTAAACCAGACAAAGGAAGGAGGGTAGTAGTCAAGGCCACACCCCCTCACTTTCATGGAATCTTTAAATCCAATGAACTTTCTACTACGACTTCGATTAGGACCTCTAAACATTGTACAATTCTTTAGAACATGAGTGTTCTCTAAGGCGCCCTGGTGGCTCAGAGCATGTTGGTGGTTTGAAGCCACTCGTCGCTCCTCTGGAGACAGCCTCTTCCTGTAACAGTTTACAGCCTGGCAAGCCCAGCGGAAGGTCGCGAAGAGACAGAAGCCCCGCGGCGGCAGCAGCTTGTTTTAAAAGTACATTTTTAGTCTTGTTAAAAAATCATAAAAGAAACATTTCGAACATTCAACTACCACGTGCTTACAAATGCATCGACTTTGTGCCCTCACCTTAATCAGCACCTTTCGTAATTCCTCAAAGTAGGCAGGGAAATCGGCTTCCACCTGGAGGTCTTCGATAGCTAAAAATGATGCCAATGACTGGACTATATCCCCAGCCAAATCTATATCGTCAGTATGCACCGTGACCTAGGGAAAACCAGACAAGTTTAACACCGCCAGCGAGTATAGAGATTTCTTTTCAAGAAGACCTGAACTTTCCCTGCTCTTACAAAATTACGAAGCTTGTATTCATACTGGGGTGATGGGTAAATTCAGCCCTCAGGGATATCATAAACTAGATTCATCATTTCCAGTAGCTGGCTATATATAAAAGATCAATCCACTAACCATCAAAAAGAAATGAGAAAAGTGTTAAAAAAAGTAAAGACAAAGTCCTAATCCTTTTTTAAATTGAGAAGTCATTTAAAAATTGAAGGGAAGGGGAGACAAAGGGAGAAAACCACTGGCTTAGATTATATCCTAGGTTCTAAGAGGAAAATCCCAACAGAAAACTACCTTGAAAAACGTGGTATATTTATAACTTTCAGACCTCTGGTTCCAGATGCTTGGTGGGCACCCCTAGATTTGATTTGTGTCGCATGATAAAAGACTATACGAGAAGTCTCTGCCCTGTGAGTCAGTGCTGACCCTCCGGCACCCCACCAGCCACAAGTGTGACAGTACACGTTACCTCTCCGCTCGGCTGTACTCTGATATGTAGCTGGCCACCGTTGCGCAAGGAGGCGAAGCACGCTAGAAATGGAGCATTCTTTATGTTATTGTCTTCTGGTAACAGAAAGTTCTGGTTAAGCCATATGACAACCTCAAAAATGAATACAAAGAAATTCCATTTTAAAAGTGTAGTCATTTTCAAGAAGTATAGTTACACTTCTTTCTGGTTTTAGTTTTTAGTTAACTCTAACCACATTCTTTTCCCAACTCAAATAAATTCTCAAGTAACATTCAAAATGATGTCCGGTTCTGTAACCTGCACGATTTTTCAATCTTTTCTCCTCAGCAATAATCTCAGAGGCACTCTGTAAGCAATTCAGCTATAATGCTAATTCTGTTCACACAGTAGCTCTTTTGTGGGTTTATCCTTGACTGTGTTATCTGACTAGAATAACATTCTAGTCTTTAAAAATGTTAAACAAGGGGAGCTCTGGTGGCCTAGTGGTAAGGAGCTGCAACTACAATCCCAGAGGCGCACGGTTCAAATCCACCAGATGCTCTGCCGGGGAAGGAGGGACAATCTCCTCCTGTACCAGTCAGATCTGATTTGACGGTACACTCACACAAAAATAATAAATTTTTTTAAAAAAAATTTAAATAAAAAAAATGTTAAACAAAGTCTAGACATATACCACAGACATGAGGCACATCCACATAGTAAGGGGTTTTTTTCTAATTTATTTTAATGAAAGTTCACATAGTAAGGTTTTGGCTTTTTTAAATTTTTTCTTAAATTTGTGTGTGTGTGTGTCTCTGTGTGTGTGTGTGTGTGTGTGTGCGCGCGCGCGCGCGTGCACGCGCACCATCAAACCAGACCTGACTGGTACAGGAGGAGACTGTCCCTCCTTTGCCACTGGTGGATTCAAACTGCACACCTCTGGGATTGCAGTGCAGCTTCTTGCCACTAGGCCACCAAAGCTCCGTCACATAGTAAGTTTTAATGTTAATAAGTGTTTTTGGTCAAACATTCTTCTAGGTCGTATAGCCCTGGTGTGTCCACAGAGGTAACTTGTGGTTGCTGTGAAGCTGAACACTGCGACACTGATGTGCCAAATACGTGAATGGCTACCCATGGTGGACAGTGTTTGGTGGAGCTCCCCGATTAAAACAAGCTTGGAAGCAGGAATGGCATCCACTTCTATGATAACTGGCCTCCGGAAACCCTATGAACCTGGAGAAAGGATGAAAGTCCCACAAGTGTTGAGGACTTTCGTTCATAGGGTTGCTATGAGTCGCCTATGACTTGACGGTATCTAACAACAACACAACAATACTTTGCAGTAGTCTGCAGCACATGCGTACGCCCTGTGAGGCCTTGTGAAAGGCCCCACCCACAAGGCCTCTGGTTCCACAGACTCAGAAGGCATCTGAGCATCCACAAGATCGAAAAGCCCAGCCACTGCTATGATTGAATTGTTCCCATATAAAACATCCAGGGAGATCACACACACAAGCATATAAAGTACGCAGTAAGCTCAGGAAACCAACTCTGAGGGGGCTGACCCTGGCAGTTGCCCCTCAAAACCACACAACATACTTGCTAGGTTTATAAAATACAGTAGTCCTTTAACCTTTACAAAGTGCTGGTACTCTAACCATGTACTATTCGGTTCTCCCTCTTAGATGAGGCTTCATTTATAAATAAGAAAATTGGGACTCACACCAGTGAAGGCGATTCCCTAAGATCCCTAAGAATTTAACAAACATTTAAACACAAAAAATATTCAAACTCCCACTCTTTTTCCATCTTGGCACAAGTTCCTCATGAAACACTAGGTCACAACGCCACAGAAACAGAGAGAGAGGAGTTAGAAGCCAGTACGACTTAACTTGTGACTGAAGACTGCTCAGGGAAATAATACCTTTTTATTCTCTTCTTTTTTATTTGGTTCTATTTTCCTATTCTTTTTATTTTTTAAGTTTGGGGAAATATTTTAGCTGAATTTTTAGGATGAGTTACCAGCCACATCCAAGCTCCAGAATGCTTTCATAGTTACTGCTCCCAAGAGAACGCACTGGTGTCACCTCTCACTATCTAGGAAACGGCATATGGAGGGTTCCAAAGAATGGGGGGAGGGGAATAAAAAAGCAGGGTACTCACCCTCTGCGCCCGCTCGGCAATGACAAAGCTGACGTACCCGAGCGGCTTGCTGTCAGGGTCAGGAATGATGAGAGCGTACATGGCAAACCGGGGAAGCTGCCTCGTCATCTCAAACACGTGGAACTGCATGCTACAGCGACCAATGGAACACAGGAGAACAGTTTGGTGTACAATGCTACTTCAGAGCACAAGACCCAGGAAAATCCGTGTCAAACCACTACTGGGACAGAAGGCTATTTAAGAGTTTTTCTGACCAAAAAAACTCCTGAAATTTAAGGGTTAAAATGTTTTAGTAAAGTACTTCAGTAACAGAACCTTGGATTTGGAGGTAGCATGTGCCTACATACAAACATGTGTGTATGTGTGTGTGTGTGTGTGTGTGTATAGAGGTGGTGTATGCTTACATACAAAGATATATAGAGACAAAGATATAGATAGATAGATAGATAGATAGATAGATAGATAGATAGATAGACAGATAGACAGACAGACAGACACACACACACACACACACACACACACACACACCCCAAAAGGCTTTAAACAACTTAAATGGAATGCAAAATACTTTTTATGTTCCACAAAGCTCGGGTCTCCTTTTTAGTTTTTGCACTGGCTGAGGTTATATATAACTGTAATATGAAAGAGCATCCTAGCCCAGTAGCCTGTGGCTAAAATCAGAGCTGACTATCATCTGTACTGTTTTTAATCTTTAGTGTATGTGAGATCATTTGACCAAAACTAAAACAATGAACAGCTAAAATGTACACACCCTCTCACTTTCTGAAAGATTTCTAATGAGAGAATCCTTGACAAGATGAATAAAAAGCATTAAAAGGCTTCTCTAGCAACATAGAGTGCAAAGCGGACTGGGAAAGCTACACATCCCTGCCCTCCTCCAAAACTGCCCAGAAATGAGCCGCGCGTAGCAAAGGGTCACCTGCTTCTGTAACCCACAAAGGTTTTCAAGTGCAGATCCACCGGGACATCTTTGGGGGGTGTGATGGGGATGGCGATGGAGCTGGACAGGTTGTGTACGCTGGGGTGAACCACGTGGCTTTCACCTACAAAAATGCCCTCTGCGAAAATGAGGACTGCTCGGATGATGGTGTCTGCAGGCATGAGGGGAAAGAGCCGTGTAAGAACTGCTCCGGGACGGCCCAGACCCCCGCGGTCCTCAGCCGTTCAGAATGTCTTACCATTAGAGGTAGAAATGCATAATTCGACATGAGCAGCTTGAGCTTCGCCACCCAGAGTGATCGAGAGGGCGGTGTGCAGCTTGGTGTTGGCAGGAATGATGCCCCGAAGCCCATCGGCCTCATTCAACGGACTGCTCAATTCAGCCTGCAAAACACCCACCCCGCTTCAACTCAGTCACCAAACCACTGACCTGATGCCAACTTTAAACAGTACACTGATTCTGTTTCAAGACAAGGACTCCACATCCTCTTCCTCTATGAATCTGCTTCTATTAGGAATTCTTGCCCTGTCCGGCTTCTCGGGAAAAACCCCTTGCTCCTATCTGTGATTTACGGTCCTGTTCTTCATCATTCCTTAAAGAGTTTATAGTATTCTTTACAAGCCCCCATGTTTTTATTATGCACTTGTTATATTGTTGTTGTTGTAGAAAATGTCAATACAATCATGGGTTGGAGAAAATAAAAGTCCTATTCTCTATTGAGGGTACCATGGACTGCTAGGAAAACAAACAGATTCATCCTGGAAAGGGTCAAATCGGGCTGCTCCTTGGAGGCAAGGATTCTAAGGCTCCGTCTAACATACTTTGGACATGTTGCAAGGAGGGACAGGTCCTTGGAGAGGGACATCATGCTTGGTAGGGTGGAGGGACAGTGCAGAAGGGGAAGGCCCCCTATGAGGGGTAATCCGGATGGGTGTGTTGGAGACGGTGCGATTGGCGCAGGATAGAGCAGGGTTTAGGGCTGTTGTACATAGGGTCGCTATGAGTCGCAAGTGACTCGACGGCACATAACAACAACATTCTCTATCCTCACCCTGCAACCACAACGTGGTACACACAGAAATTCTGTAGCTGCCAGATGTTTTCTTATTATTGAGTACTGGGTCTTATTGACACACAGTGCTCTTATTTTTCACTTAATATAATCAAAACTATCCTTCCACACCAACCTCAAATGTGTCCCTTTCTTTCTTTTGCATACAATTCCCCATGGTATGTTCCCCATTAATAAACATTTAGGTTTCTAATAATGTTCAAGCTCCAAATAGTTCTGTAGTAAATGACTTTGAACACACAGGCAAATACTTACACAGGTGAGATGCCTAAAAGCAGACATTCTAGTTCTTAACTCTGACACCCACATGAAGGGCGAGGCAGTGCCAGTACTAGGAGCTCACACCTTTCTGAAGGACGGACCCAGGTACTCACATTGTCTCACTTCTGCCCACCCGTCAGCCCCCACTCGCTTTCCAGCTCGACTCTCCATCACCCTGGGACTCACGTTGGTGTTTTCCTCATAGTTACGGAGTTCTAGCAACAGATTCTGTTTTTTCTGGCTGAGCTCGCGAATCAGATCCTGCTCCATATTGGTGTCCATGTGGCTCCCCCAAATCTCAGCTGGGCCTGGCTGGTAGCCTCGGACTGAAGAGAAGGAAAAAAGAAGCTCTCTCCTGACCTCAGAATAACTCTAGTCACCAACTACCTGGTCTCAAAGTCCGCATTTCTCCGGGTGAAGTTTTTTGGGGGTATTGGGAAAATTCTCAATGTAAACACTAGTGGAATTTCCTGGCATTTTGGCCCATTGTATGTACTTTCTCCGTCCACTGAGCAGCAAATGAGCTGGTCACGGCCATCCATGCGGTAATCGCCCTCAACCACTCCAGCAATTGCAGAAGGAAAATTGTCTTTAAAGATGACCTCCCCAGTCCGGTCACTTCGAGCATCAACCTAAAACAAAACAAGAGTTTGAGAAAATCCCTTACATCATGGGTTTGTTTTAACAACAACAACAAAAACAATTATACAATTTTAAAGTTACAATCAGCTTTAAAGATCACATAGTTTAGTAATTTTAATGACTGTTCCACAGAGTCCTGCGTCTTCCTGGTGGATACTGGACCCAGGGAAAACACAAGAACTTTAACCATCCCTGCTTTCTTCTTTTCTTACACAAAACTGCTCTACATACTGGCCTTCTCTGTAATATTTCACTTGAAATATTACAGAAATCAGTCTGGTCTGAGACAGTTAGTGTAGTACTTATAGTACTTATAGTGTAAAAGGGGCATGGGCTTCATGGCCAGATTGCCCAAGTTCAGAGTCTAGCTGTGCCCACTTGCTCCCTGTGGGATCTTGAACAGTTTTCATAACCATTCTGTGCATGGTCTCGCCTCTGACAACCAATGACAAAAACACGGGGACAAGAACAGAACCTGCACGTCTGGGGGCTGCTGTGAGGACTGAAGGAGTCAACACACGTAAAGTGGACTAGTGCCTGGCACAGAAAGGTACACAGTAAATGTCAGCTCTGCATAAAACTACCATCTTCATAAATACATTGAGTTTGAAACACATCAGATTAGCCCAATCTTCCCCACACCTTCAAACAACCCTGCTAATCTCATCCACAAATAACTATTCCGATGCTTTGGGAGCTCTCTTGTCCCCTCTGAGTCTCTTCCTCTCAAGAGAATGAACAATAACTGACTCATCAAAAATGAATGCATCTCTAAAACAATTATGATGGATAATCAATTTAAAAATTATTATTTCTGTTTCAGACAAGAACACAGGGATTACCAATAAAAGGCCAGCTGGAGAGAAAATCTGGTACAATGATCATCTCAATAACCAAAGCCATTCACTATTTGTCTCTTTTTATAAACATCCTTCCTAGGAGGAAAAATAAAAAAATCCCCTGCAAAAAATCAGATTGTAAGGTCACATGTTATACTGCCTATCCCCGACCAGTGTCTGGAGAACATCACCCTCAAATAGCCAAGCTATTAATAAAAAAACAGCCCTCTTCATATGGTCATATAACCCCCACACTGATCCGGATTCTTCCTACTTAAAGCCTAGCCACTTAAAAGCCTCTAGCAATCAACCAACACTTTAAAGACATAACAAGATCAATTAGCTATCAGAGAGATGCAAATTGAAACAACAATTAGCTATCATCTCATGCCCAGAATAGCAAAGTTCAGTCAGACAGTAAACAATAAATGCTGGTAAGGGTGTGGTTATTGTTATGGGCCCTCACTGGCTCCTATGCACAAGAGCTCTAAACTCTGTCCTATCCTGAATTCTCATATAATAGGGAAAGTCTTCTGGCACTTCTTTAAAGGTGAACATGGAAATACCATTTGATCCAGAAATCACACTACTAGCTATAGATTCTAATAAGAGCTGTAGCACAAACAGATAAATGCACATCCATGTTCTCTGTAACTCACAATAGCAAAGAGATGGAAACAACTCAAGTGCCCATCAATGGACAAACAGTGAAATCATGTATGGTATATTCAGACAAGGGAGCATTATGCAACACTAAATAACAATCAAGATTTCACAGAACACTGCGTAACATGAATCTAGAGGAAACTGCTAAGTAACATAAATCAGCCACAAAGAAAACCCCAAATTCTGTTAGACTCCTAATATAAAAACCTAACGAAAGATTTATACACAGAATCACCCTTAGATGGTTACCAGGGATGGGAAGGAGGAGAAAAGGAAGTAAAACTAACAAACAGATAATAGATACATGTTAGGACAGATGAATGGAAAGGCAATATACAGCAAGGGGATAGTCAGACATTAAAGTTAATGGCATTAATGATTTGTAATTAACGTTATAAAACAAAACATACATCAATGATTGGAAAAGCAATACAATTTGTAAACTTTAGCTTATATCTCAATTTTTTTTTAAAAAAAAAAGCATAAATAATAATGTTACATTACTTGAAAAACACAAAGGGGCTCATTTGCAAAGAAGCAAGACTCCAAATCAACATTTATCCTAAAGACAGAGGAGTTTTGACCCTAAGAGCTTTTTCTCTGAGGGAAGACTGTCAAGTCAACTCTGCTTTTCAAGAGGTATGTGTTACTGTTCTGATTCATACAGCCAATACATTATAGTACACACGACTAGTACATTATTTTGAGTTCTACCTCAGCTCTGCTAGGCATCAACATACCTTCCCATTGGACCAACCAGTTATCAGTTCAGGAACTCCATCAGAATTCAGGTCAAAAGCATGAACACTCATGGCATGATTTTTGGACTGAAAAAGAATACCAATAATCAGTATATTCAACAGAGTGGGGGAAAAACAAAAACCACAAAACCCCAACCTTGTATATCAGAGGCTGAATCATACTCACTTTAATTCTCCAGTATCGGGCCATTTTGTCATAAACTCCAACTGTACCATTAGAAAGAGCATAACCAAATCGACTGCCGTACATGGGGCAAAGAGAGGTGATTATCTGCAAAGGAATATGGAAGAAGGGAACACCTTTTCATTAAGGCTCAATCTACTGCCTTAGGGATAAGATACTCTAATGCCTCGCTGTTAAATTAAAACTTAATCAGATCTATGATCTTGCAGATCGACTTTCTAATTCTGTGTCTAACACAAGAGATCATCAGAAATAAAGTACACAAAGCATAGGCTAATTATGCCATCTCGACATCTACCTACAGCCTTTCTATAAAACTATCTAATAGGCTTATCTCTGAATATATAACATGCTGTGTTGGATTCTTGGTTTTAAAAAAACACTTGGAGTATTCAACCATCAGATGAATTGATTTTTCTGATCTTGGACATGGCATTTGAGCCAACAGCAAAGCCTCTTGAGAAGACAGAAAAACAACCTCACAAATAAGTAATTTTATAAATTGTACATTCTTGTATGTTTAGCCTAAGTTACTCCGTCTTTGAATAGCTGGATACAGGTAATGACAAATTGCACTTATAACCATCTGGGTTTTACATCATTTATATCTTTTAAAATGTTTGTAAGTTACTTTATATGTAATGTCTGTAACCTTCAAAAATGAAGATACGGTTTATAAAGACACTATTAACAGAAGGCAAGTTTAATAAAATGGGGAGGGGGCAGAGGAGGCATTCTACTGATATCAGAAGACACACAATGCAGTTGTAAAAATGCACAAACCCTGCCCTAAGTCAGGGACTACAAGTTTCTTCTGTGAACTAGAGAATCAACCGCCACCACCAGAGAGTGATTCAAATTCACAGCAACCCTATGTGGTGACAGAGTAGAACTGGCCTTCAGAGTGCTTTCAGGGCTCTGCCAACAGACTGGCAGCCCTTTCTTCCAGGTGTCTCTTGGGGGGACTAAAATCTCCAACCTTTAAGCATCGGCCGAACACTTACCTGTTACCCAGAGATTTCAGAAGATCAACAGTCACCGCCTCGAATTCCTAACTACATGTTCTTCTGTCCTTACCAAGGATTTAGGAAAAAGATGTTTCAAAGAATGTACTTTTGTCACATCTACCAGGGAACAGAAAGAAGCCCCGGTGGTGTAGTCTGTAGGGAGTGACAAAGCTCACCCACAGGCAGCGCCTAAGTACTTCAAATCCACGAGCAGCTCTGAGAGAAAAAGATGGGCAATCTCCTCCCACGTGACTTACACTCTCACAAACCCCAGGGAGGGGCAGCGAAGTTAGTTCCAATCGATTGCAACGTGTTGAGTGTGAGCAGTAAACAAAAGTGTAACAAAACCTAAGTAATTCCCTCCAAATAGGAAGTGGCTTACAGCAAACTGGAATAAAAAGGCTACAACAACATCGACCATAACAGCTAGCTGCATGATGGTGATTCTCAAGGATTCTGGGGGAGGAGGCTGCAAGCGCCTTTAAGGATCTACTGAAAGGGCCCTGTCTAAGGAAAAGCACACACGGGCAGATACGCATTAAACAGCAGCTCCCGGAGACACGCGTCCTCAAAGTGATGCTCTGACATGCATCTCTCCCTTGCACCTCGATTCTTTACACAACTCTAAGCATATATAAAGTGTATATACCTAAGCATTTATAAAGTGTGTATTATTGTTAACTCTAAGCATATATAAAGCATTGTCTGACTATATGAAAATCTATGACCACATCACTGGTAATATTTTCTCAAGATGCAAGTTTTGCTTTTAGGCCTCCTTTTATAATTGTGAGGCGTGCTGAGAATGCTTTACCTACACAACTTTGGTGAGGAGATGGCGAGAAAGAAGTAATATAGGAGGAGAAATCAACAACTGTGTTGTAGCCAGCGCCCCCAAGCTTTTCACACAGACTCTCACACGCCATCTAAGTTTGCCAGACTCCTGCCACACCGACCACTAAGGTTCCTCTTGGGATTCTTCCTTCCTGTTTACAACGTTCACAAGCCATTGTGCTTTTTCTCGTCACCAATATCCTAACTGTGGTGTTTCCGTCATGCATAATCCCTGAAAACTAACAACAAATATACTACAAGCTTCAAAGCAAAAAAACTATCTTTAGCTAATGCTTAAAAATAAAAGCACCAACTGAGGTTCAATTCGAGGCTACGTTAGACTGTGACTCATCTTGGCCAAAGTTGACAGAGCTCACTCTTTACCTCTGTTTCTGTCATTTCTGCAACAATCTCATCTTCTTTAAAAACTCTGATGTCGAAGTCTTCAGATCCAACAAGAAGCTGAGGGGTGTCAAGGAGGTGAAAAGTATGCACATTCATGTTAACAAGTTAATGCAGCAAAATTTCAAAAAATAAAACAAAAAAAAAGAGAGAGTACTTGGGAAATTGCCACTGTCACGTAAGAATCTTAATTCCCCAGTAATTTAATCCTCGTGAATGCTCCCTGCAATGGGAGGGTCAACAGACACAGATGGCGACGTAAAGTGGCCACATTAAGTGGCCACTACAGATTTGATCCTGCGTGTGGCTCCATGCCCATTTTTTAAACCACATGCCTAGGATTGCTCCGTGTTTGGGTAGCTTTCCTCACCTACAGACAGAAACCTGGCTTCAAATGCCAGAGCTCAGTATTCATGGCGGGAATTCTAGTGACACAATTGTTAAGCACTTGGCTTAAAAGAGTCAAAAGTGTGGAGGTTCAAACACACTCGGCAGCTCTGTGGAAGCAAGCCCAGGGGATCTGCTCCTTAAAGGTTATAGTTTGGAAAATGACACGGGGCATGTACTCCGGCATAAAGGGTCACTATGAGTTGAAACTAGCTCAGTGGCACCAAACAACAATAAAAATCCATGGACAAAAAAATGTGCAAGTCACTGTGCAAAACAGCTCCTCAGACGATCTGGGTGTTCAAGAAGTAATCATCAGAATCACTTAAAAGGCTAAGAAGCACTTAAAATAACTAATCTTTAAAATCATTAGAAGCCTGGTAAAGCTGAAAAACCACTTATTAATATGGTTTCAAAACACTGAAGCAAATTACAAGACCATGACTATAACTGAGGTCTCATTAAATGTTCTCTCTCTCTCCCCTCAGCCTGGGTCTTTGAAACTTTATGCCTTTGATCTCTAAATTAGACAAACACAAGAGCTTTACTGTTGAAAAGAGAAAAAAAAGAGTATGTGACCAGTTAGTTCATCACTATGGAAACAGAATACCAAAATCAACTATGAGAACATTTTTTTGGTCTTGTTTTGGTTATTATATTTTTCAAGTTTATATTGGCTCACAAACACAATTTGCACACATTCTATTTCACACATCCCTTCATTTACATCGTGCTTCATACGATCATTCTCATACACCATGTTTTATAAGAAACTAACCCTTTTTTTTTTTTTTGCAACACTCATATCACCATGGTGAGCTTGGCAGCCTAGAGGATCAAGAGTTGCATTTACAACCCAAAATAGGCAGTTTGACTCCATCAGCTGTTCCAACAGGTAATTCTCTCCCCTGCGATTTCAACCTTGGAAAACCCACTGGAGGGCTCAGCTATGGCTAAGTTCCCACAATAGCAATGAATTTTTTTTAACACTGCTCTCACAGAAACATTACCCAGCTCAACCACAAGAGGTATCTCATCCCCCACATACCTCCTTCTTCCCATCCCCATCAAAGTCACACAAAGCCAGGGAATGAACATTATCTCCAGTAACCTGAAAATAAAACAAAAAATCATCATTATGCCATCTTTTTGTACTTAGTTCACTTATATTACTTACACAAAAGATTATGCAAACCAATTACGCCTCTCTTTTTTCACATACAGAATTGAATTGTGTTAGTAGAGCCAATGGTTTTAAAAGGGGGAAAACACCACCCACAAAGAAACTAAAGAACATTCAGGGAGCTCTGTTGCCTAATGGGTAGAAAGCTGCATTCCCAACCCAAAGGAAGACAGTTCAAATCCACCAGCTGCTCTGAGAGAATTAAGGCAATCTCCTGCTTGATTTGTAGCCTCCAAAAGCCTGCAGGAGGGTCAGTTATGAGGCAAATCTGACTCGACAGCAATGAATTTGAGTCTGAGCTGAAAGAACATTCAAAGTAAAGATATTCAAGGGTCACAAAAAAGAATGTTTTGTCTCTCATACCGTCCAGAAGAGATCATTTCCTTCATGATCAAAACCTTGCAGGACACAATTTCCACCAACAATCACAAGTGGAGAAGCAATGTCTCCCAATGTTCCCAATACCATTGCATTTGCCCCATCAGCGACCTACAAAAGAAGACACAGAATCTCAGATACAACGATGTGTGAGTAGAATAGAGCAACATAAATCTCTACTTTCACAGAGATTGTTTTAGTTCTCTGACATTACACACACACACAGTCCCCAGAGAGGCTGGCCAGAGCTGTCCACCGAGGTCAACAACCACAGTTCACACCAAGACAAGTACAGATCCAGCATGACTGAGGACTCGAGGCTGTCACAAGAATCTCCTACAATAATATAAGGATCTTGAGCACCTCCAGGTTCTAGAAGTCCAACTTTCCAAAGAATGACAGCTTTATGCCTTTAAACATCCAAATCTGGATGTATTTTAACCGTCTCAGAAATCCTTCCAAAATCTACTATCCAATTCTGTTATTACTAGCTTTAAATGTAAACAAACTGTACAAAAATACTAAAACAGTCAGTGTACGTTCCTACCATCGAGACCTGGTACGTGTCCAGATTTCCGTAACAAAATTTACCTAAGTTAATCTCTTTTTGGAGAAAATAAAGAGTGTTTTATTTCCAGATGATGAAACTTCCCCCCCATTCTTGCTTCCTTTTCTTTTTTTGCAATAAATAGGGGGTATTAAATGGCAGGCTGTGGTATAGCAAAGACTTCTTTTTGAAATAACTTCTTACTGTACAGGGGAGCTCTGGTGGCCTAGTGGCAAGAAGCTGCAACTACAATCCCAGAGGTTCACGGTTCGAATCCACCAGATGCTCTGCCAGGGAAGGAGGGACAATCTCCTCCTGTACCAGTCAGATCTGATTTGACGGTACACGCACACAAAAACAATAAAAAAAAAAACAAAAACTTCTTACTGTACTAAACTCTAGCGCAAGGCTATCACAAGGCCTCATCGCTGGCTGCCTCCCTGACTCTCAGCTGGATTCTCAACAAGATGCCTCGAGACATGGCAGGATCACAAATGCTAAAACATCAGTTACTATATAATGACCAGCCATGATTCCAAACACGGAAGTTTCCACTACATCACACACACACAAGTGGTCAATCTCCCTGTCACTTACCTTTATTACAATAAATACTCCAAAATAAATGTCTGATCTCCATTGAGCATAAAAGGTCAGAAGAGAGTAACAGGCAATGGGCATTTTATGGTTATATACAGAGTATACTTGCCTCTCTATAAAACAGATCTGAATTTCTGTAGACATCATAAGCCAAAAGATTAGTCTGCGTCCCCACTAAAAGAGCATCGTAGCCAAGCTGAGAGTTCAGGACTCCTGCCGTGAGGCAGCTGATCGCCTGGTTAATGTTGAGAAGGGAAACATCAGACTCCAGGGGGCTCTGGGTTATTCCAGATGCACTGAAATGCTTGCTCCGTGTATGAGGATTGTGAATAAAAATCTAAAGCAGAAACAGTTAAAATACATGTAATAAACATGTCATGTAAAATTAACATTATACATTAAAAAAAAGGACTGGGTCAACAACAGATACCAACATTTACAAGAAGTAAAAATCATCGTCCACAAAGTTTAAGAAAAACTTACTGCATAAAGCCATTGTTAGAAAATGCCACTGACATGGGGGTTGGGGGGAAACTAAGAAAAGAAGGGATAAATACTGTGTATAGCAGTGAAACAGATGAGGAATAGAACTGCTTAAAAGGAATATAGGATTGGGTATTCTGTGTATGACAACAGTCCAGAATAAGAGCTACATAGTAAAGTGAAAAAGTAAAGTATAGTAAACAGAAAAGCAAACTGGGGGGGATAGGCAGGGAGGAAAATGTGCAACAATGAATGAGTAGAAATCTAAGTTCTCCATAAACTTTCATAAAAACCTCAATTTTTAAAAAAAGAGGGGAAAATCGTTCTGTGCACAATTTGGTTTTAGGCATTATGAACTGTAGAAATCTAGCAGTTCTTGGCCTTAGGCAATACAGAAATGTTCTTTAGGGAAGGTGATTTTCTTTATAATAAAGAGTAAGATAATATTCTTAAGGTAATGGTCTTATAAAGAATTAGGTAATGCCTTGAACAATAACCATATTATTTGCACAAAAATAAGATAATTCAACAGGTTCAGCTATCATCAATAGATATATAGGCACCTGAGAGCCTGCATCAATAATTAAATTTCCTTGAGTTTCATCTGTAAATAGGTCTGGACTGGAACACGCATCTCAAGAAAGGAAATAGAACCAGAGGAAAATCTCAACAGAAAGCTCTGTTTGCCTTCCAAATGGCCACAGACAGTACAAAACATACATACATACACACACACACACACACACACATATATTATGTGTGTGGTAATAACATTGCCCTGGGACATCTTCATTGTCCAAAAACAGCCTCACGAAGGAGTGACAGGAGAAAGGAGGTGGGGAAACATTAAGGCAGTAGCCCCTTAAGAGTTCTAAAACTCTGCAATTTAAAATAAGTATCTCTTTTGTTATAAATCCAGCCAGGATTACATTTAAATTCTTATTTAAGCAAGGTAGCCTATTCAATACAGAATAATTTTCAAAGGAATGAGATAGAAATAGTAACACTAGCTACAAAGTATTTGTGTTGCTTCAACAATCCCACTCATTTGTGTGATGCCTGACAAGAAGCCTTTATAAACGTTCTTCTTTTTTGGAACAAAGACATGAAGTCTGAGTTTTGGTTCCAGATCCCACAGTCTAGCCACCCTACCATACTTTCTTTTATCACAGTTCTGGGCAGATCAAAAGAATCCTAACAAAGTCTTCAAATAATTAAAATACACTGAGGAAGAACTAGAAAGGAAATAACTTATGGGGACTCTATTCATTGCTGTTGGAATGGAAATAATTTGGGGTCTCCTGCTTAGAGTCAAAGTCCCGTTCTTCTTGTCATTTTTATGTGCCATCGAGTTGGAAGTGACTCACAGCTGACCCTCCAGCAGGTTTTCAGAGGCAGTAAATCACACAGGAGCAGAATGCCTCTCTTTCTTCCTCAGATCAGCAAGTGGGTTGGAAGTACCTGCCTCTGAGTTGGCAGTATGACTCTTTACCAAGTTGGCCATCTATTACTTGCTGTTGTTAGGTGCTATAGAGTTGAGTAAAACCTATGAACAACAGATCTGAACTCCATTCCATCCCGTGCTATCTTCACACTTCCAGACACATTAGAACTCATCATAGCAGTCACTGTGTCCATCCACCTGGTCAAGGGTCTTCCTCTCCTTTGCCAACCCTCTATCTTCTCCAAGCAACTGTCACTCTCTGCAACATGCTTGAAGCATATGTGACAAAGCCTCATCATTTTTGTCTCCAAAGAGCACTCTGGCTGCACCCTCTCCAAGACAGAGTCTCCCTCTGATCCTGACTCCACATTCCTCTTCATGGAGTACAGCTTCTTGAATAATTTCCTCACTATACAGATGGAATAGGTATGGAGAGAGCATACAACCCTGATGCCTCCCTTAATTTTAAACCATCTTGCTCTGTTTACACAATAATCTCCTGGTTTCATATGAGTACAATTGAAGTGCTCTGCGATTCCCATTCTTCTCAATGTTAGCCATAACTTGTTATGATCCATGCAATCAAATGCCTCTGTAAAGCAAATAAAGCACAATGGGTTGGAATCAACTTGAAGGCAGCAGCAGGTTAAGTGTCCATCAAGTGAACTCTGATGACTAAGTGTTTGGATGGTAATGAAAAGTTTAGCAGTTCAGATCCACAGCTGTTCCACAGAAGACGAGACAGTCTGCTTTGGTTAAGATTGTAAGCCCCAGAAACTCTAAGGAGCAGTTCTACTCTGTTCTGGAAGGTCACGCTCCCTCAGGATCCACACAAAGGCAGTGAGTTCAGGTTTTAAGCTAGGAAAGGAGTCCTGGTGGCCAACCGGAAGGTTTGAACCCCTTTGTTGCTCTTCTGGAGAAAAGACATGGCTGTCTACGTCTATAAGGTTACAACCTTGAAAAGATGTGGCAGTCAGCTTTGTCTACCCTGTCCTGTGCGGCACTATGAGTTGAACAGACACAACACTAAAGAGCGGAGCCAGGAACACCAGCCCAGTGAAGAGCTGCTACCCTCAGCCTTGAAGCAAAGATGTGACAATAGCTTCCCTGGGTCCCATTGTGTTCTTCACCTCCATTAGCACACAGCACCAGGATCTGCTTTCTCTGTTGCCTTTCAGAGCTGTACATTTCCTGCAAGCCAGGACTCTGGCTCTATCTCTGAATCCTTCACATAGTAAATGACCCTGTCGTTTTCATCTCTTTGGTTCCAACGTCTTGCACAGTGATTGGTACATATATTAAATGAATAAATAGCAGAGGGATGGGGGAGAGATCCTAATGTATTAAGAAGGACCAATCCTCGGAGAAGGGCATCATGCTTGAAAGGGTGGAGGGTCAGTGCAGGAGAGGAAGACCCTGGATGAGATGGATTGACACATTAACTGGGGTTGTGGGGTAGGTATGTCACAGACAGTGAGAATGGCTGAGGATAGAGCAGGGTTCAGAGCTATGGTGTACAGGGTCGCTATGCGTCATAAGAGACTCGATGGCACATAACAAAATATGGAGAGAGGTCAAGAGTGTAACCTAAGCCATCAAAGATCTTTGCAATCATTTCTTTTTATTTTTTTAATTTTTATTATTATCTTTTATGTGAGTACTGTCAAATCAGATCTGACTGGTACAGGAGGTGTTTATCCCTCCTTCTTCAGCAGAGCATCTGGTGGATTTGAACCGCACACCTCTGGGATTGCAGTGCAGCTTCTTGCCACTAGGCCACCAGAGCTCGCCGCAATAATTTCTTTTTTCTTTTCTTTTTTTCCTTATTGTGTACCATCGAATTGGATCCAACTGGCACAGGATGCCTCTCCTCCTCCAGGGGAACTGTGGTGTATTCGAACCACGAGCCTTTGGGATTGCAGCGCAGCTTCTTGCCACTAGGCCACCAGAGCTCCCTTGTAATCATTTCTTTTTCTATAGCATCGCTTAGCTCAAGAGGCAGTGTGAGACAGGGGGGAAACTTCCCGAGGGGTTCGATGCCAGGGATCGGCGGCTATTTACCATTCCACTTCACAAAGTCCACTCCCTATCCAGCATCTCTACCTGTAAGGGCTCCAATGCTGTCCAGCGTCTACGCGCCAGACGACCTGAAAGAGTTAACTATTCAGCAAAGCCTTTCCGGTGACACCTCATCATCTCAGCAGGATGAGCCAGTATTGCCAAGCGCCCAGTGGTTGCCAGGCAACGTGGCTGGGGGCGGGATCACAGGGCCCGGGACGCAGGCTCCGCGCAGTGCGGAGGTTACCTTGTCTGCCTGGGTAGCAGCCGCCAGGCACGGGTGGGTCCCGTCGTACCGCCCGACGGCTACCATGCGAGGGATGATTTTGTGGCGCAGTTTCAGAGTGAACACGGGCAGCAGCATGATGCTGTATGTATGCAGCCCCAGGCGATGGTGGAGGCGACCTCACCGCCGGGATGATCGCGCGCACGATAACATCTGAGATGCTACCAATCGGGTTACAGCTGTCTCCACACATGCGCGAAACGTCACGCCACTCTGCCGGCCTCGGGCCGCTGGCTCTTCCTGCAGTTGCGCAAACCCGCCCACTGCTTTCTGCGGCTGCGCAGTCAGGGTCTCTGCGCCTGGTTGGACCAGAACGAGAGGAGGTGGGGCGGGGGCGGGGCGAAGTTCCTTTTTCTGATAAATTTGCATATTTTGATGTTTAGACTTTTTCATGCTCTAGAGGCATCCTTTCAAGAATTATTTCTCAAATGACTACTTGTACTAATATACCAATCCCTTTAAAAAAGAAAAGTCTTAACTCTTGTGTTTTAAAGCTCGGAGTCCCTTGCAAGATTCCCAATATATTTAAAAAGCAAACATGAAAAATTGTGACCATTCACAGCAAACATTTATTAAATGTTTTTCCTGTCTGCTGTGTGTCAGTCACTGTTCTAGATGATAGAGATAAAGGCGTAAACAAAAACCTTTGAGGTCCTTAAGCTTACAGTACTAATTAGTGGAAACATTAAATAAGAAATAAATATGCTGTTATTGTCATTATTAGGTGTCATTGAGTCTTCTACTAAGAGTCATAGTGACCTATGAACAACAGATCTGAACCTTACCCTAGCACGTGTCATCTTCATCATCTGTGATACATTTAAGCACGTTGTTAGAGTCACTTTGTCAATCCATCTTATTGAAGTTCTGATTCTCTTTTGTTGATCCTCCACCTTTCCAAGCATGATGCACTTTTCCAAGAACTGACCTCCTCACCACATGCTCAAAGTATGTGAAATAAAGCTTCACCATTCTTGCTACCAAGGAATACACTGGTTACACTTTCTCCAAGACATATTCATTTATTCTTATGGCCGTCCATGGGATATTCAATACTCTTCTTCAACATCACATCTCAAAAGGCATCAATTCTTCTGTCATGTTTATTAATTGCCCAGTTTTCAGAGGCATAGCAAGTAATTGCTATGAAAAATGGAGAAACACTTTTAGATATAGTTCGATAATTGTAGAGGGGCTTCAGGCCTTTTGTTCATAGGGCTGCTATGAGTCATGCTTGACTTGAAGGCAATCAACAACAACAACAACAAGAAGGAGGTAAAGCCCAGACTGTAAGTCACTAAAAAAATGAAGCGATATAGCTGCAAACATACATCAATATTTGAAACTATATGAAATATTAATCTAGGAAAATAAAAGCTGTCAAAAATTAAATGGAATGAATAAAGATCACATTGCAGGCATTAGTGAGTTGAGATGGACCAGGATTGAGCACTTTCTTTTTTTTTTTTATTATTTTGTGTGCGTGTACCGTCAAATCAGATCTGACTGGTACAGGAGGATATTGCGCCTCCTTCTCCGGCAGAGCATCTGGTGGATTCGAACCGTGTTTCTCTGGGATTGCAGTGCAGCTTCTTGCCACTAAGGATTGAGCACTTTCAATCAGACAATGATATCATCCATTATGCCAGGAATGAAAAATTGAGAAAGACTGTTGCATTCACGGTCAAAAAGACCATTTCAAGATCTTTTCTGAAGTGCACTATCCATACTCATACAAGGAAGACCTATTAGTATAATGATTATTCAAATATATGGACCAACAACTAAAGGCACAGATGAGGAAATTGAGGGATTCTACCAACTTTTGCAGTCTGAAATTGACCAAATATGCAATCAAGATGCATTTACTAGAAAGCAAAAGTAGGAAACTAGGAAGGACTGATAGAAATTACAAAGTTGGGGACAGAAAAGAGACTGGAGATTGAATTATTGAATTTTGTACAAAAGAACTATATCTAGCTGCTGTCAAAGACCTCTCAAGAGTGCTAAAGAGCAACAGGGTTATTCTGGAGACTAAAGTGCACCTGATACAGGCCATGGTCTTACTTTCAATGCATCAGCGAGCTGGACAATGACTAAGGATGATAGAAGAAGAATCAATGAAGAAGGTAAAACCAGGTTACTCCTTCAAAGCAAAGATTTTGAAAGTTTGTGCATGTGGCAGCCAAAAGGGCCCAGACCTTGGAGAAGGACATCAAGCTTAGAAAGGTAGAGGGTCAGCGCAGGACAAGACCCTAGCTAAGTACTCTTCACCAATACGACAAAACGAAAGGCATCACTTCTCTTCTGGTCGTCCTTATTCACCATACAACTTTCAGATGCATAGGAAGCAATTGAAAAGACCATGGGTTGGAACAGGTACACTTTAGTCTTTGCACTGACATTCTGGCTCTTTAGAACTTTGGAAATGTCCTTGACAGCAGATTTTTCCAATGATGTATATAGTATCCGAAAACCTGCTGGAGGTTGAGCTTTAAATAGATTCTAACTCAATGGCATATAACAACAATAACTTCATAATGCTGCCTATCAGTCCAACGATGAGATTTTTGTTTTCTTGATGTTGAGATCTAGTTCATATTGAAGGCTGTAGTCTTAGATCTTCTTTAACAAGTGCTTCAAATCTTCATTTTTTTTTTAGTCAAGGGTGCATTATCTACATAATGCAAGTCGTTGATGAGTCTTACTCGAATTTTTTGCTACATTTTTTTCATATAGTGTGGCTTTCCAAATTATTTGTTCAGCAAATTGGTGCCTGAAATGAAAGAATTAGAAACAGAGGACAAGTTGTAGTTGGAAAGTATGGACTTTTGGGTAGAAATGAGGCTGGAGGCAAATAACAGAATTTGGTACACTCAATTATTTATTAATTGCAAATACTTTTTTAATTTTTTTTTCATTTTTATTGTATTATTTTTACATGTACCTTCAAATCAGATCTGACTGGTACAGGAGGAGATTGCACCCTCCTTCTTCAGCAGAGCCTCTTGTGGATTTGAACCGCATACCTCTGGGATTGCAGTGCAGCGTCTTGCCACTAGGCCACCAGAGCTCCCTGCAAATACCTTTTCTAAAAACAGAAATGGCAATTATACACATGGACTTCATTTGATGGGCACAGGAATCAAATTGATTCCATCTGTGTAAAGAGTCAATAGAGAACTTTAATACCAGCAGTCAAAGTAGGTATAAGTGCTGGCTGTGGAATGGACCAACTTGAAAAACTATCTCAGGAATAGATTTGATGCACTGAACACTAACAACAGAAGACCAGATGAATTGTGGGATGACATTACAAAGAAGGGGAAGAAAGAAACGACCAAAATGTACATCAGAAGTGACTCTGAAACTTGCACCAGTATGTAAAGAGGTAAAAACAACAGACAGAAATGCTGAAGTAAAGGAGATAAACAGATGATTTCAAAAGGCATAAACAGATGATTTCAAAAGGCAGCTCGAGAAGATAAGTCAAAGTACTATATTGAAAAGTGCAAAGAGTTGAAGTCGAAAACCAAATGAGATGAGCACACTCAATATTTCTAAAGCTAAAAGAACCAAAGAACAATTTCAAGATTTAAATTGCAATACTGAATGATTCTATGGGCAAAATTTTGAAAGACGCAGGATACATCAAAGGAAGATGGAAGAAATGCATTTGACTGTGTGGATCACAAGAAATCATGAATTACATTGCGAAGAATGGGTACCCTAGCACATATAATTTTGCTCATTCAAAACCTACAAATAAGTCTTTCTCCTCTTCTTTACATTCGGAGAAATTACTCATATCTCTCTTTATCTCTTTCTCTCTGGAATGTATAAATAATAAAATTGTCTTTTCTTTCCTGTTACTAAAAAAAAAAAAAAAGCCTATACATCGACCGAGAAGCAGTTGTCTGAACAGAACACCTTTTTGGTTTTGCTGTTGAATCAGAACAATTCACAGATTAATTCACAGTTGACCAGCCAGTGGCTTTTCAGAGACTGTCAATTTCATGGGAGGAGACTGCCTATGAACCAATGAAAATCCTACACACCACAATGTTTGGATCTGGAACTAATCATAGGACAGGCACAGGACTGAGCACCACTCTGGTCCACCTCGCACGGGGTCATCATGAATGGGAGCCAACTCCATGGTGGCTAACAACAACAAAATTTTCTTTCAGAAACTCAGCCCAAGGCAAGACCTACAGCCTTAATCCCAAACTGGGCCATATCTGACCCCATCTAGGTGGTGAAAAGAAGAAGGTCTGTGCCTTCTGGTCCATTCGAAGCACAGAGGACCCTCCTCATGACCAAGAACCTTGTTGGTTGAGCCTCTCGTTGGGTCTTCCTGCTATAATCTCAGGGCAACAGTTGACCATTGGTGATGAGGTCGTGGCTCCGCCCAGACTCAGGCGACCTGCTGGCTCTCCAGCCAACACACCACAGGTCCCTTTCTCGTGGCAGCCTGGTCCTTGCAATTTCTCTGTCTGCTCACCCTTCCACGTGGGACTTCTTAGTCACTCTGGGCTTCTATTTCTCCCCAAGTCTTTGAAAACTTTGGTGGGAACAGCACATTTCATTCCACAGCAGGCCCTGAAAGACTCCTTGTGCCACGTCAACTCCAAGAACCTGTTGAATGTTCTCTGAAAGAAAAAAATACTTGGACCAAGCTGGCATCCTAAGCACCCTGGAGTCAGGCCTTCATTAAGAAGCTGAGGGCATCTTTGTCTAATTAGCACACAGACACACACATAGCTTTCTCAGTTAGCGATCCAGTTCCATGCAGACGGTGGTTGTAAGAGGGCTATTGTTTCCAGCACCTGGAGGAAGTTTTCCGTCTGAAGGTATGGATGGCTAAGCAGGGTCATGTCCAGGATTCCTCTCTGTATCTTGGTCTGCCCTTGCGTGTGTGCAGAATCTGAACTTAGGAAACTGATAGTTGTTGTTGTTGTGTACCACTGAGTCGGAACTGACCCATAGCTGATCCTGTAGAGGGTTTTCAGTGGCATTTAATCCAATGGGAGGAGACTGCCCATCCTTCCCTCGAGAAGTAGCTCGGGGATTTGAACTGTGCACCGTTGGGACTGCATTGTGGCTTCTTACCACTAGGCCATCAGAACTCCCCACTAGGTTCAAATCCTTATTCTGTCACTTCCTGATTGAGTGATCCCGGTAGATAACCTTTCTGAGCCACTGTTTTCATGCCAAAGTGTGTTGTTTGGCAGGTGAAATGTTGATGGCTTGGAGAGAGAAAAGAGGTTTGGGAAGCACAGGAGAGCAGAACTGAGCCTGGTTCTTCTTTGGCCAGACTTTC